CCAAAAAACCTCAGCCATGAAGTAAATTCCAACTCAAGGTGACCCTATAGGACAGTAGAAATGCCTGAGGACTTCTGAGACAGCCCCGTTATGGGAGTGGGGAGGGGAGTGTAGAATGCCTCATCTTTTTCCCACTGACTTGCTGACCTCGTGGTTAGTTTAGCAGCCTGACCCATAACCAGTATGCCATCAGGTGCTCTCCCTAAACTTCACATAGAAAAGGAAAACAGTTTGAGTCCCTTCAGGTTTGAGTACATTGGAACAAGTGTGTAAATGTCAGAGTGTGGAATTGTGCAGGGAAAGGTTAGATGGAAACAGCGTCTTCAGATATGGGGAGACATACATGGAGGATGTATCAAGAAGCAGTGTTTTCACAATTTGGTGTTTTTGGTTAACAAAGGTTTCTATAATTCTACAACAATACTTTTGGACTCACACTTGTATTTATTTCTGAGAAGAGTAATCTACATTTTTTTCCCTAGCAGGTAGCTCCCAACACTCTCCCAAAAAGCAACTGAAAACAGCTCTTTGAAAATAAACATTTGAAGTTTCCTTGTTATTCTGGTTTAAGATTAATGAACATAAATATAAAATTATCTAAAAACTATCCTTATTTTCTTTTTCTGGAAAGTTTCATTGGCATATAATTCACATACAATTCAACAGCTTAAATATATTAAAATGAGTTATGCAATCAAAATTTTAGAACACTTTATACAGTCTTATCCATTATTAGCTTCCCAACCCCACATCTTTCAGTTCTTTACTTTTACCTCAAAGATACTGAATCATGTTTCATATAACCATCCACTTCGAGTCACATTTTTAGGTGATTACTAAGCATACAAAGCCATGATGCATTATGTAAATTTAAGTCCTCCCCTCTGTATCTGAAGGAACCAGGGGGGAGTGGGCTACAAGTTGAGCTGCTGTCTACAAGGTGGAACAGACTGAACCCACCAGATGGGGTTGCCCGCTCCTGTAAAGCTTTACAAACTCATACACTTTATCTACAACTACTGACCTCGAGCTTTCCAGTACAAACTACCACCCATTCTCTCTACACCTTGAAAGAGATACAGTCAGTTCCATCCTGTCTTCTAGGGTTGCTGTGAGTCAGCATCGATTCGATGGCAGCAAGTTTGAATTGAGAAGCAACAATGTAAAGGCTCTCTCGTATGAATGAAATTTCAAATACATAACCAGGCACTGAAAGAAAAAGCACTGCATAGCACATTAAAAAGTCTAGTTACAGATTTTCTGATATACTATGACAACTTAAAGAAATCAACTATTGGGTATATTCTTCAGGCTGAAGCTTCTGTAGGACTAATCCTTAGCAAGACTACCCAACCTGCATCATTCTCTTAACTGGACTTTTTCCTTCTCCCACTCGAGACCCTGTGCTCTAACAGGCTGGACCACACCCATGGGTTTCTAAGTCTGGTGTGTGCTGCTGGCTGTCAAGTGGGCTCCAAGGCAGATTAAAAGGAGGGAAGGCTGGGGTCAAGGTACTTATTCCATTGGCTCATTTACCTGTGAACTAACCTCAGGCTGACTGCTGAACCAAATGCCACTGCTTCTTTCAGGTGAAACCTACACTTACCTATTGGGAAGAGCTCAGTTGCTGCTCACACCAAAGTCAATGCATCATTTACTGTGGTTCCCTTATACCTACTCTGATGGAAATAATTCCGTTCTAAATAAATCATTTTGATTTTTAGCAGTGGCACTGGCTAACAACTCCTTATTTCACTTTACAAAGTCCCTTTCTACTCTCCTGTCATACGATGTGAGTTACTTGATAGTATACAGTAAAAACCTGTTTGCTTATGGCCAGCCAAACTGATTTTTGTCTTTAAGTTACACCAGGAAGGCCCATCAATACTGACTGAGGAATGGAAGATTTCCCAAGTGGGGTGCTGGAAACATTCATAGTAAGTATGGAGACTTGTGATAGTGATAGCAAAGATACAAAGTTAATTGCCTATTTGAAAAAGTAAAACCAGCAAATGAAAAAGATGCCCAACACCTACCATGAGAGACATTAGATAAATGCAAATGAAACTCAACAATGAGATGCCACTTTAAAATCACTAAGCAAAAACCAAGCTAGTTGCCAAAAAGTTGACTTTGATCATGAAACTGTTAAAACGGATTTCAAGGCTGTGACATTTAAGAAGCAGACTGTCAAGCCTTTCTCCTGAGATGACTTGTTGTGTGAGAATTGCCAGCCTTTTGGTTAGTAGTTGAGCACATAAGTATACCATGCCTAGGTACTCGCTTTGACATAAACTAGGCGGAATATAATAAAAAAGACAGTGCCAAAGAGTTATGTGATACAGCAAGTTCACTCTTATTTAGGTTTATGCCCAAGAAGCCACTCAGCCTGTACATGAGTGCTCAGAGCAGTTTATATATAATATAACCCAATAGCCCCAGAGTGGACATAAGTTGATATCCATTATTTGATAAATGGATTAAACTATCAGAGCATCTGGGGTCTTAAAGAAAGGCTTGTAGTTAAAAAAGCAGGCATTTAACAGGGAAGCAACAAAGCCCACGTGAAGAAGTAAACCAGCCTATGATCATGAGACGGGAAGAGGTATCAAATTTACAAATCGATATGAAGGGGAGTGGATGTAGTGCAGATCCAACCAGCAAGACAATTGGACAGTCCCTCTCAAAAGGGCCACACAGAATGGAAGATAAATTCAGGGTGCATGCAGTATGGCACTGATGAACCACATAACTATCCTCTAGTTTAATTATTTCCTCCCCTTACTATTACGGTTTTTGTTTTCCCTCATTAATCATGTTACACTTGTTTATGTTCGTTTGTGTATTTAAGATCGTCCAGTACATGGTCATCAAGACAGATAACCCCTCAGAGACAGTGACAGGAGTAATGGTTCCCTGAGGTTATGGAAAGTGAGGGGTGAGGGAAGGGTTGGAGAGGGGAGTTGATAGTACTGATGATTGTATAACCCTACTCGTTGGGATTAAACAACAGAACTGTATGGGAAGGGAAGGATATGTCAATAAAAATGTTATTTAAAAAAAATCAAGTATTACCTGGCAATACAAAAAAATACCCATACAATATGCTAAGTGAAAGTAGCCAGTCATCAAAGACCACATGTGAGATGGTTACAATTATATGAACTGTTCAAATAAGGTCAATTCTTTATTGAAAGAATAAAGATTATCTGGACATTGAGGAAAGAGCCCTGATGGTGTAGTGGTTATGTGTTGGGCTGCTAATTGCAAGGTCAGCAGCTCGAAACCACCAGTAGCTCTGTGGAAGATGGGGCTTTCTACTCCTGTAAAGAGTTACAGCCTCGGAAACCCACAAGGGTATTTCTACCCTGTCCTATAGGGTCACTATGACTTGGCAACGACTTGGTGGCACTCAGTGAGTGCGAGGGAGGGAACAAGCCCTGGAAGGGTATAAAGGTTTTTGTCTTGGGGTGATTAAAATGCTCTGAAATTGTGATAATGGCTGCACAATTCTGAATATACTACAAACCATTAACTTGTATAAAATTTAAAAGGATAAATCTTATGGTATATTAATGGTTTAAAAAATTATGTGAGACCTCTTTAATTTCTAAATTATACTTAAAAACCTCAAATTACTTTAACATTTACATTAATTGAAGTTAATTCTTATTGCTTTAATTGTGGCTTACATCTTAAATCACAAATTCTAAAGAAATACCTGTTTGTACACCAGTATCCTTCTTGGGAGAAGTTGTAGAATTGATATATGTATTCATTTTACCACTGGCTTCATCATGATTATGTCTTGAACTTGAAATGTTATGAGTAGATGCATTATATTCCATTTGTACTGTATCAACTGGAAGAAGAAAAATGATCTAATTACAATTCAGAAACATTAATATAAATTACACGTAGCAGCAACCAAGAATCAGCAATACTTTCAGTTAATGGTATAAAAACTGCAAGGAACATTTAG